CACGCGGGAAGCAGGGCCGGCCGCTCACTCGAGGACCGTCGGCGGGAAGAGAGGAAGCAGCGGCCCCCAGAGGTCGGGGACGACTCCAGCGGGTCCCGGCGGATCCGTGCCGCTCATTCCGCCCCGCCCAGGCGGGACCCCGATGCTCAGGGGCGGAGCGGGGCATGTGCTGCCCGGCCGCACGGCCCGCGGTGCCGCCATCGCGGCCACGGAGCCTTCGTCTAGCGCGGGTTACTCCAGGCCCCGTTCAACCTGGCCTTGAGTTCTAACAGGGATCGGGCATCCACAACTTCTCTAGGCCTCACTACCCTCACAGCAAAGGATGTCTTCCTAATATCTAATCTAAACCCGTCCTCTCTCAGTTGGAAGCCATTCCTCCATGTCCGATCACTACATGCCATTGTAAAAAGTCCCTCTTCAGCTCTCTTTACCTTGAGGTACTGGAAGGTCTCTGAGTTCTCCCCGGAGACTTCTCCAGGATGAACAGCCCCAGTTCCCAGCCTGACTTCATAGCAGAGGTGCTCCAGGCCTCTGAGTATCTTTGTGGACATAATTATCCACGATTGAACCAGTAACCCAAATTTATTTCACACAAATTCCGGAAATGGCTGTGAGAGCTAAGCAAAAAGCTGAAATTTGATTCAAAAAATTGATGCATTTGTATTTTGAAGTATTTGAATTTTGCCTTGCAGCCAAGAACATACATCATTTCATCTCCCATTTCCAGCCTATTCTCATTTTCCTTTGTCCTTTTTCCTCTTTCTTTCCTATACAAGGTGTTTTCCCCTTTTCTTCAACTTTTGTTTCCCACCTCCATGTCTGTGTCTTCATGGGAAAATACACGTCATCCTCAAGACTCCTGCAGTTTTATGCTACTACTCAGACATGATCTCAGGTGTTCCCAGTGCTGTGCAATTAAGCTTTCACCAAAAAATAAATTAATCTGATCTATTTTAGTGCCTACATTGTTGTACTTATTATTAAAGTTTATAAAATCAGTGATGGGTTTTATTGTTACATGTTCTGTACAGCAGGGAATAATTATCTCTGTTCACAGAGAAGTAGCTGAAGCACAGCTATTTTGCCTTAAGCCATTTGGCATCTGGCAGTGACAGCGTTTCAGTCTAAATCATCTGTATTTAAATCTAGGATCCTGTCTGCCAAACCAAGCATTCTTAGAAAAAAAGGGAGCAACACATATTAGGGCTGCTGAGTTTTCTCTCAGTGGTTTAGATACCACCTACTAAAGTCAGAGGAAAGACTCTTCCTGGCTCACATGAGCCTCCAGCCTCCAGCTCCAGCCTGAGCAGAAGCTGAGTGGATCAGAGGCTGCTCTTAGAACAAGAAGGAAAATTACAGGGGGATATTGTGGGTTTTCAAGAAATCCACGTGCTAAATTGCTCAGCAGTGTGTGTCAGAGTAGGCACACTCGTATGTGGGAGACTGCAGGGAGACAGGGCAATCATTATCATGCAGCCTTCATCATCTCTCTTCCCCTTGTTCCTCTGTCCCTAAAATTAGCCCAGTAATCATCATGCCTAGGAAGAACTAGTACCAGTAAGGCACTAAGAAATACTTCTCTGTCATTCCAACCTCTCTCAAAAAAAAAAAAATTGGCTTTCTTTAGCTTAAAACATCGAGACAAGATGACCCAGCACTCTCTCCAACTTAATCTTAAAATCGTCCAGTGTCGGGGAATCCACCACTTCCTTGGGGAGATTATTTCAATGGCTGATTTCTCTTATTGCAAAACATTTTTCTCCTGTGTCTAACTGAAATCTCCCCAGAAGTGATTTGTATCCATTACCCTTTGTCTTTTCCATGGGAGTCCATATGAAAAAAAGGAATTTCCATCTTTTTTTGTAGCCACCCTTTATACTGGTATGTGGTGATAAAGCCTCCTTTGAGCCTTCTCTTCTGACAGCCGAGCAAGCCCATTTTTCAGGTGCAGCCTGGCAAGCACTGAATGGGGCAAATACTTCTTTATCCATGCTAGTGATGTCCCGCGGTGAGCTGCTTGTGCACCAGGAACCCCAGGTCTGTTTCACAGAGCTGCTCCTCAGATAGGTAGGTACCAGCCTATGCTGCACTTAAGGATTACATTTTTCCAGGTGCAAGACATTACACTTGATCTTGTTGAACTTAAGGTTCTTGTTAGCTCACTCTTCCAGCCTATCCAGGTCTCCCTGCAGGGTAACTGAGTGTCAGAAGTTGCTGAGGAGAGTGCCCTTAGCATGGAGGCTGACAGAAGTGACCTGGGAGTGATCCCAGGAGCTGCACGAGGCTGGTATGACTTGCCTGCAATTGTTATCAAGAGCCTTGGGCTTACGTTCACTGTAATAACTGTTCCAGCGTGTCACTAGCTCTAGGATCTAAATGCCCAGGAACCAGCTGAGACACCACTGTGCTACATGCTGAAAAAGGACAATCCTAGCAACGTGTAATGAAAATAATTTTTTCCAATTGTGACTTACTCAGAGCACTTGAATGATTGTAGTGACACTTGGGATTTACCATGTATAGGTCAGACATGATGGTGGAGACAAGCAGCTTCAGCAGAGATGCTGTCCTTACCTGACACGTGGAGGGAAGATGGAGCTTTGTGAATGGTGCTCCCTAAAGGCCCCTGGCAAACTGTGATTGCTCAGAATAAAATAGTTACACAATTGTCCTAGGGTGACAACAATGAAGGTAATTCCCAATGAAGAAAATAATAATTCTTTATGTGAAATTCAGCCTGCAGTAATTACATTACAACAGACCAGCCCTCTGACAAATACAGAAGATGAGATTTGGGCAAGCTGGACTCTGCTGCCATGGACACGGCCCTTTGACACCAGTGGTCTCAGAGGAGTGTATCACTCAGCACATCTGCTGTTTGAGCCACCTCATTGCTCTCCCTTAAAGTTGCTAACACTTCTTTAGCTGAAGGAAAAAACATAGGTTGCTAAGCCCTTTCAATGGGCAAAACTATAGAAATACTCTGGATAATTCACAAATGTCATCTGGAAACTGAGCAATTAGATGAACACTTCCTTTCCTTTTTCTTATATAACAAAGCATGATCAAAAAGCCAGAACCACAACCTTTTGAATATGTGGGCCAAATTCTGCTTCTGCCTCTGCAATGCAGAGCTTGTCTGCAGCAGACAAGTCTGTTGTGTAGGACTGTCTGTCTTTCAGATGGTAAATTCTCTCACTCAGGAATTGTTTTCCTCAGCATTTTACATGCCAAATAACAGCTATGGCTGGCTAATTAAGAGGCACAGTAATTCATTCTGATTTAATACACATGCAAGTGGTTTGGGGAAGGACTCTCTCTGTGAACTGTTGTTATCATTCCCTAGGTATATGTGGCTGCCTCCTGGGGATAAGATACTCTTCAGATGAAAATTATAAGCACAGATATTACAAGAAACAGAACTGTCAACATCAGTTCTGGGACTAGAGCTGTGGGGAGTCCAGATGAGTACAAAAAAATCCTTTTCTTCTGCCTTTAAAAAAAAACTTCACTAACCAGGCTCTATTTTCTTAACCTAAAACCTTTTTTCTTAACCTTAACCTTTTTTTCTCTAAAAAAAAGTTCAGACTAAAAGACAAAAATCAGATTAAATTCTGCCAGATCTATTAGAACACACTAAACCACATATAGGTAACATCAGTGGGACTGCAGACAAAGTGTACAGCAAAGTAAAACCACAAATCTTAAAAAGACTAGGGCCAGAGTATACTGATGTCTCTGCAGTTGTCTTTAAATAACTAGAAGACCAAATAAGAAAAGAAGCATTTGGGCACTGAAGTGACCGTGTTACAGAGCCTCAGTGTGAACTTTGCAGCTCAGCTGCAGAACAGCAGCAGCAGTGGCAAGGAACCCTTCCTGAAAGCAATGCTTGGACTTGTGTTGCATGGCAATTAGCAAGTGAGTGTTGCATGACACTGCTTTCTGAAAAGAGACAATTTTTACCTATCCATTCCACACTTGGTTTTTTTATGTATTTTTAGCAAGATGGAATGCACAGCATAATTTGAGCAAAGCAAGGGCTAGACACTTGCCTTTGAAATGTTATTTGGAGGTTAAAGTTGAGGGCATGAGTGTTCTCTGCAACCTACTTCCATTTGTGCTTTCAGCTTTGGGTTTTTAAAGACATCTGCTTTCATATGACTGACTCCTTTGCTGCTTTAGGGGTGATGGCTAGGACATTGTTTAGTTACCTGAAGCAGTATTATCTTTCCCAAAATAATGCACATTATAAGATTTATAGTTGTGATTGTACTGAAAGGTTCGCAGATTGATTTTCTTTAAGATCAAACACTTGTTTTTAAGAATAAGTTAAAACATTTTGTCCTGGTTTTGGCTGGGATAGAGTTAATTTTCCTCCTAGTAGCAGGTTCAGAGCTGTGCCTTGGATTTAGGATGGGAACAATGTTGATAACATGCTAATGTTTTTAGTTGTTTCTAAATAGTGTTTACACTACTGTCAAGGACTTTTCAGCTTCTCATATCCTGCCAGCAAGAAGCTGGGGGGGAGGGGGGGAACCCAGCTGGGACAGCTGATCCCAGCTGGCCAAAGATTATTCTTTGCCAAATGGCATCATCCTCAGTGCATAAACTGAGGAAAAACTGACCAGGGGCCACAGTTTGGGAAATGTCTGGGCATCAGTCAGTAAGTGATGAAAAATTGCATTGTGCATCACTGGGTTTGTTTATATTATCATGATTATTATTTTATTTTCTGTCACATTAAAATGTCTTTATCTCGACACGGAAGTTTGAGTCTTCCAATTTTCTCTTCTGCCCTGCTGGAGAGGGGAGTGAGCCAGCAGCTTTGGGGGCCCAAGTTGCTGGCTGGGGTTAAACAACAGGTTTCAAGGAGCATTTTCTAGGACCTCCAAATTTGCAGTTGTGGCTCTGAAATTCCAAATGCATAGAAAGAATATAGAGAAAAAGAACTTACTCTGAAATAACTCTCTCAATTAATGTTTGTAAGTGAAGTTATGCAGCACATTCTACTTTGAAGGTCATCCATGATACACACTGAAGAAATCATCACTGGGTAGCTGATGATTTCATTAATGTAGGAATGTGTATGCTTTTATATGTATATAAAAATAGATTAGCCAAAATAAAGAAACAATGTGATCTAACACCAATGTTACCCTTGCTATGAGTAGGGGATTGGACTAGATAATTTACTGAGGTCCCTTTCAACCTGAATTATTCAGTAATTCTAACTTGCTTTTCTATTGTTACGTTTAAGATGATACTGCAGGAGAGATGCCAGTGCTCATTTTAGTTGAGCTGCAATAGCAAATAAACTGCTTTCACTTAACAGCTTGTCTGCTAAGGTATTTTTTCAATTTATTTTTTATTAAATAAAATGGCATTTATGCCGTGCTCTGGATTCCAAAAAGCTTTGTGCTCTGCTGAAAAACTGCTGATCCCAGCATTGAAATGTATTCCAGATTTTTGATGCCCAGTAAAATTTTCACCTTTTTTTTTTTTTTTATCAAATCAGAATAAGGAATGAAGTGTCAGCAGATGCTAAGTGAAGCTGTTTATTAACATAAGTGGATTGACTCTTATATGGCATGTGGGTGCAGGGGTTGGTTACGGAGAATTAGATGC